ATCAGCCCAGAGGTTGTTTCAGGGTTCAATCTGTGAGTTAGCCATGCCCTGACTTAGATCAGCCCAGAGGTTGTTTCAGGGTTCAATCTGTGAGTTAGCTGTACCCTGACTTAATCAGCCCAGAGATTGATTCAGGACATCGATAAGAAATTCTTCATTTACGAGTTACCCTTTTCAGTTCGTTTACTAAGATAAAACGCACCATTTATGTCAGATTCCAAATTCAATGAAGTCGCTATATGTAACCTATCCTTAAGTTTCTTACCGATTGTACGTGTTTCAGTAGTAATCCATTCTCATGGCCTCTCTTCCTCGTTTTCTTAACTTAGAGTGATGTACTTGTCAACACAGCTGGTGAACAACTGAATCTTCAAAATAATAATTGTGCTAAAGCATTCAGTAATGCTGCGGGCCCAGAGCTTCAGAGATCCTGCAATGCAATCGCTCCCGTTCACGTTGGAGATATTGGTGTCACCCCGCCAGGGAATTTAAACTGCAAACATGTTTTTCATGCAGTTTGTGGCGAGTGGAAAAATGGAAGTGGACAAAAGGTAAGTGTATGCACAGTATACGTAATTCTTTCTCACATTCATAAAAATTGAACAACTTCCAAAAAGGTTAAAATATTTAAATAGAAGTTGCGGCATGTGTTTTATTAGGAGGAAGGCTGAGGCTTCATAGGAAGAGTCATCACTAAAAATTTGAACTTTCTTGGAGGGTCAAACTTGTTATTTTGATGAAAGCTAGTTCCTTGCAGGGTCGTAACAGTTCCCTTGGTCGTTTGCCCCGGTAAACAATTCGGTCTGGCTACGTTCCTGCCTTGTTTACGTAATAGGAAGGTCATCAAATTCTTACTGAGGGAGAGGGGAAGGGCTACAATTCTATTTTAAAATATATACTGTGCACCCCAGGCCTCTCCCTCTCCCAATAAAAGACGTAACTTTACTAACAAAAACGACCAGTCAGTGCTAGACCTATCCTTATTTAGCGTAAAGAAGAGTATGATTGTAGGAGTCATCTTATACACCCAGGTAGTCCTTGGTTAACTCACTTACCACATAGCTCTTTGCATTAAGTTAGTTAACCTCTTGTTAATTCATCGCCGCTGACATTTATTGCAGGTTTTGTGTGTACTTCTTGAAAAATGTTTGAAAGAAGCCGAGAACCGAAGGGCAAGTTCTATTAGCATTCCCGCCATTGGAACTGGCGTGCTTGGTTTTCCGCGAGATGTAGTGGCAAAAATATCCTTCGACGAAGTGATCAAGTTCAGGTACGTAACAATGGAGGATCCAGAACGGTTTCAAGGAGGGTGGTTGTTTGATTTGCGTCCTTTTTAGGTTTTATTATATTCTTTATTCTTTCTATTTTTTGACTCTAGAGGGGAGTAAAGGATAGCAACCCAATCCGCCCCCTGGATTCACCTATGCGTAATAGTAGCTATTCATAATGTTTAACTAGTTTAACATGTACAGATTGATTTAAAAGAGAAATTCAACTCTTATCTGATTTGAGCGAAGTTACAAGAAAGTACGATTATCTAATTAATGTATCAATTATACTTTTGTCTGTTACAGCCACAAATGTCAACCCAGCCATGTAAAAGAAGTCAGATTCGTAGTATATCATGGTGACCCACAAACGGTAAATTGCTTTCAAGATGAATTAGCACAAAGGAGGCCGCGTCCTGTTCGTGAAAATATTGCTGGCGATTCAGCACGAAACAGAATTTCAAAGGTCGACCATCCAGAAACGAAATCTGTTCCATCCATTCCAGCACCTTCAGCAGAGAAGAACAGAAAGCCAAAATTGTTTGAGATGAAAATGGGCAAGATGACCGTTCAGCTCGAAAAAGGAGATATTACCCACGAGAAGACAAATGCCATTGGGATGTTCTCAAATCCATTACTTGATTTTGAAAATGAAGGACCGACTTGGGCCGCAATTATGAATTCTGATGCACAAACAATTATTGGGACCAGACTTGACATGCACCACAAACTTCCCATTCGCCATGGTCAATGCGTAATTTTCCCTACAGAAAATTTAAAAGTTGGAAACTTGGTCATTTGCTCAACGGATAGCAAAAAGCCGAAGAGGTTCTCTCAACATCTTGTAACTTGTTTGAAAAGAGCTGAGAAACAGGAGTTAAACAGTATCTCCTTCCCGGCTTTGGGGACTGGCAGCCTTGGTCTGTCTTCGAAAGACTGTGCAGACTTCATGTTGTCGGCTGCCAAAACGTTTTCAAAAACTCAACCAAAGTCATTGCAGCTGATTCGAATTGTTGTGTTCCAAGAAGTGATGATTGACGATTTTGTCGCTGCTTTGAAAAAATATCGTTATTCAGCAAATTCCTTTTGGCAGATGGCAAAGAGTGGTGTGACAGTTCTTAGAAGTAAACTCAAAAAGAAAAAACCAAAAGACGTGGTCGGCTGTTCAGAGTTGTTTCTCAAAGTGTATAGTGGAAGCCACGAAAACCTCAAGGATGCAGTGAAGGCAATAAATGACATCATGGGCGAAAAATGCATACTTCAAAAAATTGACGAAAAGGAAGCCATTTTGGACATTGATGAAGTCCACATGAATGAGATCGGCGTCCTTGAGCGACAGTTAGACTGCAGGATCAACGTAGAAAAAGAAAACTGCATCATCACCATAGAAGGTCTCTCGGAGGACGTTTTGAAAGCCTCGACAGCTATTCACGACATGCTGCACAAGATTGTGGTAGCCAAGCATGAACGCACAAAAGCTGAAAATATTGCAAAGGATGTCCAATGGGAATATGAAACGGGTGATGACTTCATACCATATTCTATAGAGGCAAATGCTAAAATAGAAACAGCTTTTGTGAGCAAAGATCAGTACGTTACATTTGAGGAAAATGGAGAAGAAATAACTATTGACTTTGCCGCCATGATAGAAAAATTAACTGCAGAAGGGGTTGAAAGTCACACAAATATCAAAAGAAGAGATCTAACACTTGGTAAGTGCGTTAATATAATAAATTTATGTAAAGTAAAAGAGTATGGCGATCAAAGTTGCATCTAGTTCAACTTTGCCAATCCTCCTTAGGTTTGAATGAGCATCGGGCTACTCTAGTTGGACCAACACTCAGGGTCTTTAAGATGTAACTGAGAAAAAGGTGCTGCCTTTGTATTTGCTGCCGTCTCTCCATGGCGCCCACACTTCAACATTACCAAGAGGATATTACACGGTGGCGCGAAGATATGAATTTTATCTTCGAGTGGTGAAATATTTTTCAACACGAGAAGATTAAGTTTATATCTTCAAGCCAATGTGTAATTTTCTTTTTAAGATATATACACATTCACAAACAAAAACGTGTTGTAAACATTGAAAAAGACGTGTCCTCGTGAAGCTGTATTTCTTCTTGCTCGAAAGAATACGGCCGCTTTCACTCATAAAATTATCCAGCTGTAATACACGACTAGCAGTGTAATAACCTCTATATAACGAAGCTATCATTTCTGTCGTCACAGGTAGGATTAGTGTACCAGAACATTGGGATAAACAGCCAAAAAGCAAATCAGGAGTAGAAAACGCTGTTCATTTGGTTGACCTAGATCCTTCTTGTCCTGAATATCTTCAAGTTCAAAGTCGGTTTAGTCAATCATGCCCTAACAGCATCATCAAAATAAGTCGAGTTCAGAATCCGGAGCAATACAAGATATATTCGATAAGGAAACAGAAAATGGATGAAAAAACTGGAAGCAACAAGAGGCAGCTGTTCCATGGTACGGCAGCCGATAGCTGTGAAAGTATTAATAAAAATGGGTTCAACCGAAGTTACTGCGGTAAAAATGGTTAGTATCTTGTAATCTCACCCATTTTATTTCCACTCCACTCCACTGCACTCCACTCCACTCCACTCCACTCCACTCCACTCCACTCCACTCCACTCCACTCCAATTTTATTGCTCACTATTACATTACACTATAAAATTACATTTGATTTTTTACTATTTAAATTTCAGCAACCTTTTATGGGAATGGAGTGTATTTTGCAGTCAATGCCGAATATTCAGCCAGACCAACCTACTCACCAGCCGATGCTAAAGGTTCTCGGTACATGTATCTAGCACGAGTACTAACAGGAAATTATACCAAAGGTGATTCATCCATGAAAGTACCTCCACCAAAGAACCTAGTTTCACCGAGTGACACCTACGACACAGTCGTAGACAGTACTTCAAACCCCAGTATCTTTGTAGTCTTTTATGATGGTCAGGCGTACCCCGAGTACCTTATAGAGTTCAGATAACTGTTGAAATGATTACTAAGGCATGTTTTTACTGATGAAGGCCATTGGTAGCGCCGTAACCAGGGGGCAGCACAGGG